TTTTAGAAGATTCGACAAATTTGGACGTTTTTTGAAGAGTTTTTGGATGCACCTATTGGAAAACCGACATTATACTCTATTTAGAACCGAAATTGATCAGAAAAATGACTCTCTTCGCCCCTTCGCACCCTTCAACCGCTTTCCACTCTCTTCCACGCTATGTCAGATTCCATATAACCACATAGAGTCCATCAGTCAATTATTTTCTTTATAATTTTGAGTTTTTGTGGTGAATTTAAGTGTGAATTCTTCTCTAAGAGTGTTGGAAAGGGAGAGAAGTGAGATATTTCTTCTTCCTGCATTTTCTAAGAGAAGCTACAAGGAATTTGCTTTGAGAAAGAGTTTCAAATAAGTGTTGTTTGTTTATTATTATAGTATGAACTTTCTTTTATATATGAAATTTGTGTTTCATTGTATCTTTCTCATGAAGTCTTAGTTTCCTTTATATTTCTCCTACTCTGAGATATGGTGAAATAAAAAGATAATTTGGATGTTACAATGTTGAAATATAAAATAAATTGATATGATTTTTCAACTCCGTTCTTAATTTACTTTTCAATCTTGCCAATTGAATTGTTAAAATATATTGTGGAACATATGATCCGAAAAATGGAGTATGAGTTCTACAACAGAGTGAGAATCACATTTAATTCCATGAAGGAGCATTTCGTTCATGGAATTAAGTGTAAATCAATAGGGAAATATACTTTGTTAGATGTAGAATTGGAGATTTTTAGGGTGACAGACTAAAATCTCTAATTCGGTCTTAGTGTTTAGAACTAAAGCGAGAGTTAGCCTTCAGGGGAAGAGAAGTGGGAGCTCTGGAATGAGAGTCAATATACTCCTAGCTTAGCCACAGATTTAGGGACTAAACCTGAGATTAAATAATGATTTTCTATAACACTGAATCAGAGTAGAGAATTAAAACTGTTTCTATTTTACACAATACATATTTAAACAATTTATCTCATCTCATTTTACCAAAAGCTCATTGTAGTGGGAAATATGTTTTTTCATATTAGAAAATTTCATCACATAAACATAATTTAGTATTTACTGATTTAAACTCTGCATTTAAATTTTGCTAGTAATTAATAATTTAGTTCTGATAATATCTCAAAAATTCAAAATTAGTAACAGTAATTTTGTTTTATTTCTGTGAATTTTCTAGTTAATTTATCATTTCAAATTTAAACCATCCTCGTGAGATTGATATTTGGGACTTAAATAGAAAGTTTTATATTACTTGATAACGATACTTATACTTACGTAAAATCCCAATATTAAGTGTTTAACATTCTTATTCATAAAATACCACATCAAGATTTTGGCACAGTTGCAAAGCAGAGTCAGCTTATTAAATTTTACACAACTATATTTTTGGGGATCAGTCATCCACCTACATACAATGCCCTGATGTCACCAGATCAACACCGCTGCGCCATTTGCCGACTGAAAGCTATTTTGGTGGTTTTGCCCACAAATCCAATATGAGGGCTTATATTGGTGAATTCTCTTTGCATAAAGGGGGTCTGAACAATTTCCTTCCTCGACACTTCATTTTTCGGGAGTACCTCTCTCTAGCAAATTAGAGAACGAATTGGATAAGGGTTGTAGGAGCATTTGTGAGAGGAGAGATTTGTATTTTCTTTTCTAGTGAGAACAAAATTAAAGTGAGATTACATTGTAGAGGAAGGTTCGTGGTGGAGCAAAAGAAGTTACATTAGAAACTTGCAATCACATAGAGGAATGAAGATTCCATGAGACTTTGTAGGGTTAAGAAAAACCTGACTGTAATATGAGGCTCTAATGTTTCTTATAACTAAAAATAGAGTAATGAATAATTATCCTGGATTGTCAACATTAAACATGGGAGATTTATTGAAAAAATATTGAGGATTTGCATAATGCATTTCAAACAAGCGTGATTTCATATAAGAAAACCCAAATTAGTTAGAGATTTGTGCAAAATTAGGATTTAGAAGCATAAAAACCTTCAAAAACTTCAATCACTTTAAACTAAACATAAGGTTATTAAACTAGTAATTGGATTTATTTGAGAGATTAATCAGTTCCTCGTGGGATCAATACATGGTTACATAATTCATATATTATTTGATCAACATGAATACATACATGACATCTCATGCTTCACAGTATTTCAGGATCAATAAAACAGCCAAAGACTTTCAGTGGTAAATCTGAGGCAAAATAGTAATATGTGGATAGAATTCCATGAAAATATTACGAGGAATTTAAAATTTTAGGAAATAACTAGACATTTTATTGATAAGGTGTTTGGCTGAGTATGGCTCCTTCCAAAATTATTTAGGCACATGATTAAACATCATAATTGCATGAGCCACTTCAAGTAAATAAATGTTCAGCCTCTCAGTGACCCTATTTTGTTGAGCATCCACACAAAGTTATATGAATGATACTATGCTTAGAAAGACAATGATTAAGAATGGAATTAGAATATTCCTTAGCATTATCATTTAACTTGAATTTTGCTTTGGAATTAAGGATTATGGAATAAAAGGATTGAAACATATGATAGTTTTAAAATTTTATTCATACGAAATGTCCAAGTTTTTCTAGCATGATCATCTATAAATGATAAAAATCATCTCGCCCCGTTTATATCTTTCACCTGGGAGTGTCCCCAAATATCACTTTGAATTACAACAAAAGAACAGGGCATATATTGTAGTTTAGAATATACATGTCCGGTATGTTTTGTAAGTTGGTATATTTCATATTGATAGAAATTAAACTTTTTATTAAGAAATAGATGTGGATATATTTTTCAAAATAAACAATTTGGATGACCAAGGCGATAATATCTTAACATGACATGACTTTCAACTAAAACATACTTAGAATTAGAAAGCAGATTAACAAAATTTGAATTAGACTCAGAAATACAACTTGGCAGATGAACTTGTCTACCAATGAGATTACTTTCTTTTAACCAGATATAGACCATCATGCATCTCAATATTGTCAATCACCTTCTCCAAATCCACTTCCTGAAAATCTCAAAATTTGAAATAAACTTTAGTCAAACATTTTAAGTCACAAGTAAGTTTGTTGATTGAGAGTAAATTAAAGTCTAATTTTAGAAGAAAAAGAACGGAGAGGAGGTGAAGAACTTTTGTCAATTCAATTGATCTAGTTCTTGCAAATAGAGAGAATGAACCGTCAGCTATTCGAAATGCAAAGTGAATTATGCATGGATCGTAATTTTTTAGGACATTGATGTCTCCCTTCATATGATCTGAGAGTCTGAAGTCAAGTATCAAAAATTTTAGTATATTGCTTTGAACAATAAGAGCATGGGTTTGCTCAGTAGAGGGTTGTGGTGCTTGTCCAGAACTGTAACCATGACCTAAAATTTTCTATAGTTCCTCAATTTGCTCTTTAGTGAATGGACTGAATTATGCATTATTATTGGTTACAACAACAGTATTTATGATTCTCCCTTTCATGTCTTCTATTGGATGGCTTTCAATATCTAGTTTTATTGTGTGACTTCTAACATATTTCCTTCACATGATCGGGTTTCTTAGAATAATCACACCATGGTCATCATTTCTTGAGCTCATTATTTTAAGCACTTCTGAGTGTACAAGACTGACCCATCAACAAATGATGTGTGATTTTCTATCATAATTAACTTTTGTTTGATTTTCTCCCTTCGAACTTCTGCAAATGGCTCCCGGATGATAGGACGGAGTAATTCCAATGATTCTTCCCTTGACTTCATCTAGTTCTTTAGTGAAGTCGGGAAGAAATATGATGGTCTCCTTTTGTTCGATAATTTTCATATACAAGGCAAAGTCATCAGGGCATTTCCAAAAATAAACCTCATACATGTCGAGTTGCAACAAATGTGTGAGTGTTGAAATATTGAATAAGACACAGTTCCCCTTTTCTCAATCTCAAATAACTTAAAGGAGTTTTCCATACTAGAGTAGGTCTCACGTGCAACCTCCCATATCTTATTGGTTGTCCTATAGAGCAAAAGTTTTCTCCAATCTTTGTGGTTATAGAATTTATTAACCATATCAATCAAGTGGACATCAGTTTTTCAAGTCGAATATTTAGAATCTATCATTTTTGGAGCAGAAATTTCACCTGTGAGATGTTCATCTTTCCCTTTCCAGTAAATGTACATGAAGATGGATTACGACCAATGAAGAAAATTATGGTCATACAGTTTATGATTAGTCACTGAGTGAGATGAGTTATTAGGCACAATAGATATTAAAGATATAGGCTCGAATCTAGGGGTGAATTTCAAGAAAGAATATTATGAGGTCATATCATGATTGATCATAATAAGATTGTGAAGTTTGAATCAAGAAGACATGTTTATTATAATTTTTTTTTTTTAAATAAAGTTCAAAATTTTGTTGAAAAGATTGTTCCATGAAAAAAAATTTATTTTAATTTGACACATCCTTAACTCCAAAAGTAGGAATTGGATGAGAAACAGTATGCATGAGCTTGAGAACTATAGCTAACTAACATTGATAATTCAAAAGAGGGAGAAAACATAAGAAAGAATAAGACTGTTTAGGGGCACTTGCAGTTGTTTAAAAAAACAGCTTTGATGTTGCTGCAGAAGAAGCTATTATTCAAAATGTTATGGTGATTGTTAAAAATGTATTTTAATTTCAAAAAGTTAGGTCATGATTTTCTGACAGCCACTACACTTTGACAAGTCAGGTTAAAAAACAGTTTTCTATAATAAAAATTTCTAGAAAACAGCAAGAATGCAATTCCCTAAATAGAACTGTGGTGGCGGTCTGAAAATCAAAGCAAAACAACCAAAAAGCTGTCCCAAATGGATCTAAAGATTAGTTGAGGAACATCCCAATGGAAATTTTCTCATATGTGGATATAGTGCTTCCTAAAATAAAAATAAAAGCAGTTCCATTGCTTCAAGTTGAGTAAAAACCATTTTAAAATTTACAATACCTGCGAGATCCTTCTAATTTACTTGATCTTTCAAGACCATACCATGAAACGTTTTAAAAGGTTCTAGATTAACAGAAAAGAAAACCATATTACATACAAGAACCTCAGAAGCATAGCTAGTTAATCTTCCAATATTCTGTGAGAATTTTCCAAAGAAAGTCACAGACATTTTGTATATGATTGATGCCCAGGAGCATTTCATCATTTTCTTACAGTTAAAGACGAGAAAGCACTATTCCATAGTTCCCTAAATGTTTCGACTGATCTAGACCTTCGAGCAAAATTTTGGCACCATTTTCAGCACAGCAGAAATGTTCCCTTCTATTGTACTAAGAAAATAATAATAAATAAAATGAGCAGATGTTTAATTTTAGTAGATACTATGTATTGAGTTGGTGCTTCTAGCAAGATTAAGCGCTTGAGATTCATATCCTAATGAATGCATTAGAAGTCTAATAAGTGGAACCACAACGCACCAACCATCCATGAACTATCGCACCCAATTCTTAGCTAATATTCTAGCAACCATAAATGACATTTCAGTACATAATATACATGCGTTCAGCTTTTGTGTCGTTTGAATTTTTAAATTTTTTTCATTACCCTTACCAGTCCTAGATATATTGATAAAAATAATCAAACTCATCAAGATTCTTGCAAACAGTGTGACAAATATGCTTGCAAATTGAAGAACCATGCAAACTTGAACAGTAAAATGGTATAATTTTAGAGAAGGGACCAGATAATACTAAAAAAACGATTCTAACAGTAGAACTCACCAAAGATGTGTAGGAGACATGGTAACAAAGAATACTCGCTGCTTCAATGGATTGACGCTGGAAGAAATCCAATCTGCCCATGTCTCCAAAGCCAATGCCATAGCATCTAAGCCATCTGCCTCTTCACAAATTTCATCATCAGCATTCCATCTGAATCGCAAAGCAGCAAAAACATTCTAAGAGGTTGTGGGGTGGGGATGCGGAAGCGTAAAAAAGGTGGCATATGGGGTTTGAGATTATCAGTTTACAACTAGTTCCTTTTCAATTTCTGCTGGCATGGAAATTTACTCACAATAATTTGATTTTTGGGCCACTTCTCCACCATAAGTACGAATTGAAGACCAATATATCAGCATTTTTCCATTGAGAAGCATGCTTGAAAAGTGAATTTGGCCTGATTATCCTATAATCTAATCTATGGTTTACTGGATCATCCGAATTTGATTCTACAATAAGTGGTGCCCAGTAAAACTCAACTGTAGCATTATATTCCTGCATTGAAAGTAATATGAGGGTCAACAATAAAAAGCAAATCTGTCGAAGAAAGCACAGAATGCTGTATTTCCATTGTTAGCTTGTGAGGTCAATAATGTCCTATGGTCATTGGAACAAACATCAATTGCAAAACGTAGTGAAAACAACAGAATAAAAAAGGATTGAAAATTTTTTTTGAATCAAGGGCAACAAGCAACAAGAAATTGCTTCAATACAAATGCTGCTAGACTTTACTGCAGAATACAAGACAACTAATCTCTTATATGTTAAAGAGCCATTTGTATTATATTATAATCAGAAATGTCTAACGTGCCAAATATCAGCAGAGCTCATCAATATCTTAAAATATTTCATTTCTTGCATTAATTATAGATCATATAGAGTTATAGGAACATAGAAAAACTTCCCTAAAGAAATTTTATATTTTAAAGGTACTAACTTAAGGGTATGTAAGTAAATAAAATTTGAAGTCTGGTTATGTGCAAACGGATTAAGCATGTAGCATTCCTTTGACAGATACTAGTCAGCAAATCTCCAATACAAGGTCCTGCAGACAAAATTTATTGATATATCAATATATCATCTGAGTTCATAACAACAGTAGGAATTAACATCTTAAACTAATTTTCCTCAGCTTAGGAAGAATAAGAAAAGCCCTACGTAAAATTCATGTACTGGAGACACTTAATGCATAAAGTCATAGGGTAACATCATGGATCCCATAAGTGCTAAAATGTATCGGCCATAATATGTAATTTTTAACATGCAAAAAAGTACACTGAATATCAGAAATTGCTTTGCTTTACCTCGGCAGTAAAAATGGTTAAAGGGGCATTGGGAGACATCGATTTCTTGCCACTTGGAAGCATAGATTGCAAAAGGCACACCATGGATATCCACTGACCTCTGTTTAAGGAATCACCCACAAACATCAGCCGTTTATCTCTCAGCTTCTCCAGCATGTCGCTCCCATTCCATCTTCAACGACAAAAAAATGGATAAGAATAATAAATGGATTCTCAGATCAACATTCCTATCAATTGAGAAAAATCAGACGTCTATAATTAAAAACGGAGTAGCTCATGGAGTGACATGAAAAACAGAAGCGTATTACTTGGCCCAGAAATTCGCAACAAGAACCTAGTAGCCACAAAAAAAAATCATATACATAAGTTTCAGACCTTATATTTTTATGGTAAAAAAATCCTTAGATATGATTCTTATGAAAAAGAGAGTAAACCTTACGAACAATAGAAAGTAAAATATTTATCTATTTCTAATAATTAAGGAAAAATGAATTAAGGATTAAATTTTCATCCTTTTCCATGAAAAATGCTGGGGAGAAAGTGCAAGAGGAATTGCAGCCAATCGCACTTCAATTACAAAGGAAGACCAAGTGGACAGCTTTTGAAATGATGACTATTAAAGTTATTTAGATCGAAGAAAATGGATGAAATCCCAGCTATTTTTTGTCATTTCCAATTGCTCAAATTACTAGTATCCAACCACAGCTTAAGTGCCCAAGTCCTCGCTACAGGACAGCTTTTGAAATGATGACTATTAAAGTTGTTTAGATCGAAGAAAATGGATGAAATCCCAGCTTTTTTTTGTCATTTCCAATTGCTCAAATTACTAGCATCCAACCACAGCTTAAGTGCCCAAGTCCTCGCTACAAAAATGGTATTTAAAATTTGAAGAAGACATCGTTATCATAAAGCTAAGAGAAGCAGGAAAATCTTGGGCAAGTCATCACATGTGCGGCCAACTTCTATTCAAAATAAAAATGCATCATTCCCAAATATGACCAATTAAGCATTAATTATAACAGCATTTCACATAAACGAGCAGCATCTATTACTGGATTTAGCATAACATACCTGTCGCATGACTCTAACAAAGATTAACATCTACCCACAAAAAAAAATCTAACAAACAATGCAAAAACAACTTTGTTTTTAGCACAATCGTATAAAAAGAAAATAACATATGAACAACTAGAAAAAATCATCGTGAAATGTCATAATACAAAGAAATAAAAATCCTTAAAAACATATAACATGAACCCAAAGGAAGGATCCAATATCATAGTTAAACAACAAAAGAGAGAAGACTACTATTTGGATCGCCTTTACTTAGAATTTAGTAAAATGACGATAACTTAAATTTATCGATTATGACCAATGTTTTAAAAATCAAATCGGACCGGACAGTCGACTGGTTCAATTATGAACCAATCCTCTAGCCGGTTTTGTTTAGGCCTAAACCTGCTTCTGCAAAGAACTAGTTAGAACCAGCCAAAACTAGCGGTGAACCTGTAAACCGGAGGACCGGTCCTATTTTTGAAGAACGAGTCGGTTTTAATAATAATTAATTTTGGCTTTCCAATTTTAATCTGATAGTTGAAAACAAGAGATTTAAATTAAAAATTGAGAAAAAAACTAAAATATCAATATCTTGTCTCATATTTTTAATTTAAAATTGTATTCAGTATATTTAAAAGTTAAGCATCATAAATTAAAATGTTATATATTAAATTAGTAAAAATATTTTTATTATATCATTATAATAACCTTAAATTCAAGTAAAATAATTTTAATATTTACTATGACATCATTCTTCCGATTTTTACTCCGGTTTTAATATTCTTGATTAGGATCTTATCCAGTGTCTAAAATTCAGAATCTTCAATCCACCAAAACGTCATCACTCAAAATGCTCCTATCAAAGTCATCAAGTGGCAAAGCCTAATAGTATCTATGGTGTATCACCTAAAAGAAAAAAAGAGATACTCAGACCAACTACATCTAATCAACTAAACCGACAGTAATTGTTTCCATTATTTAGAAGGAAAAGTTGAAGCGGATGAATTCCCTATATTTATAGGGGGAAGGCAAAGGGGACAAATCCCTTGTGTGAAACCGAGTGAGCAAGTAAATGAGAGGGAGAAAAAAACTAATAAAAAAAGACAAATAAGAGATAAAAGAGAACAAGCACAGGGGAGGGGGTTGCTATCTCTGCATTGAATAATATCCTAATAATGATTGTGTGAGTCAATGAGACCAATAAAATAACCACTAACAAAAAGTACAACCACGACGACGACAAGCCTTTATCCCACTAAGTAGGGTTGGCTACATGAATGAGTGTCATATTTTATTTAATTCTTAAAAATTAAGATCACTTTTTTATGCAATATGCCCAAGTCTTTTAGATCTACCTCTGAATAATATCCTAATAATGATTGAGTGAGTCAATGAGAACAATAAAATAACCACTAACAAAAAGTACAACCACGACGACAACAAGCCTTCATCCCATTAAATAGGGTTAGCTACATGAATGCTTTTTCTCCATTGAGCCCTATTGAGTGTCATATTTTATTTAATTCTTATAAATTAAGATCATTTGTTACGCAATATGCCCAAGTCTTTTAGATCTACCTTTGAATAATATCCTAATAATGATTGTGTGAGTCAATAAGACCAATAAAATAGCCACTAACAAAAAGTACAACAGCAACGACGACGACAACAAGCCTTTATCCTACTAAGTGGGGTTGCCTAAATAAATGTTTTTTTCTCCATTGAGCCCTATTGAGTGTCATATTTTTATTTAATTCTAATAAATTAAGATCATTTTTTATGCAATATGCCCAAGTTTTTTTAGATCTACCTCTATCTTTCTTTACATAAGTTGAATCTAAAATATATACTCTCGTAACTGAATCATCAAATGGTCGACGTTTAATGTTACCAAACCATCTAAGAGGACTCTCTTTAAGCTTATCTGCCACTGGAGCTATACTAACCCTTTCATGAATAGATTTGTTTTGCATTTTTAAGTATCAAGCCACTTATCCACCTAAGTATCCTCAAATCAGCAACACTTGGCTTTGTTTATGCATCTCTTTCAAAGGCCGACATTTTTGAGCTAAAAAACATTGTAACCCTCAATGAGACCAATAAAATAGCCACTAACAAGAAGTACAACAACAACGACAACAAACCTTTATCCCATTGAGTGTCATATTTTCAATTAATTCTAATAGATTAAGATCATTTTTTATTTTTTATGCAATATGCTTTTATGCAATATGCCCAAGCCTTTTTAGATCTACTTCTAACTTTCTTAGCATAAGTTGAATTTAAAATATCTACTCTCCTAACCCGATCATCAAATGGTCGACCTTTAATGAGCAAACCATCTAAAGGGGTCTCTTTAAGCTTATTTGTCGCTGGCGCTACACTAACCCTTTCACGAATAGATTTGTTTTGCATTTTGAAGTATCAAGCCACTCATCCACCTAAGCATTCTCATATCAGCAACACTTAGCTTTGTTCATGCATCTCTTTTAAAGGCCGACATTTTTGCGCTATAAAGCATTGCAGCTCTCAATGAAACCAATAAAATAGTCACTAACAAAAAGTACAACAACAACAACGACAACAAGCCTTTATCCCACTAAATGGGGTTGGCTACATGAATGCTTTTTCTCCATTGAGCCCTATTGAGTGTCATATTTTCATTTAATTATAATAGATTAAGATCATTTTTTAATATGGCCAAGATTTTTTAGATCAACCTCTATTTTTCTTAACATAAGTTGAATCTAAAATATCTACTCTTCTAACGGGATCATCAAATGGTCGACATTTAATGTGACCAAACCATCTAAGAGGACTCTCTCTAATCTTATCTGCCACTGCAGCTACAATAACCCTTTCACAAATAGATTTATTTCGCATTTTTAAGTGCCAAGCCACTCATCCACCTAAGCATTCTCATACAGCAACACTTAGCTTTGTTTATGCATCTCTTTTAAAGGCCGACATTTTTGCGCTATAAAGCATTGCAGCTCTCAATGAGACCAATAAAATAGTCACTAACAAAAAGTACAACAACAACAACAACGACAACAAGCCTTTATCCCACTAAATGGGGTTGGCTACATGAATGCTTTTTGCTTTTTCTCCATTGAGCCCTATTCTCCATTGAGCCCTATTGAGTGTCATATTTTCATTTATGCTGCAATATGCCCAAGTCTTTTTGATCTACCTCTATCTTTCTTAATATAAGTTGAATCTAAAATATCTACTCTCCTAACCGAATCATCAAATGGTCGATGTTTAATGTGACCGATGTTTAATGTGACCAAACCTTAATGTGACCAAACCATCTAAGAGGACATTCATTAAGTTTATCTGCCACTAGTGCTACACTAACCCTTTCACGAATAGATTTGGTTCGCATTTTGAAGTGTCAAGCCTCTCATCCACCTAAGCATTCTCATATCAGCAACACTTGGCTTTGTTTATGCATCTCTTTTAAAGGCTAGCATTTTTGTGCTATAAAGCATTGCAGCTCTCACACCATCTTATAAAATTTTCCTTTAATTCTAAGCGATACTTTTCAATCACACAATAGGCCTGACGCATTCCTCTATTTCAACCAACCAACCTGAATTCTACTAATAACATCCCCATCTATATCACCAATAAAAAGTATGAAAAAAGTTATAAATGATGTTGACATTTGGACAACCCAAAGAGAATTTGCTCATAACAAACAACAAGAGCAGCCTTAGAAAATTGACGATGATAAGAGATGCAAGATCTAATAAAATGTGAGTAGTCTAAGGAGCCTTTGAGATGGGCAATCGATACAAAAGATGAAGATAGTGGCCAAATAGAGGAATCTTCATTACTCTAGAAACATTAAAAAAAGTTGCAACAAAATTAATACAGACAAGGAGAGCCACTGAAAGCAGCCCAATTGAATTAATGAAATGATTGGTTATGATTTAGAACGAGAAAGAAAGCTTCCGTGAGTAGAGAATAGTTGTCAATGAGGAAGAAAAATTGGATGATCGCAGCACTATGCCACTAATCATAAGACATCAGGCATGGTAATGATTTATAATGTAATCACCCACAAACACAATACAACGCACACAAAAACGTGATAGCACAACTGCAATGCACAGTGAGCATGGCAGTAATGGAATACGAACTCGCGAAGAGGATAGAAGTACAAGGCGAGGTACTTAAGTATGCATCAAATGGGAACAAGAAGAGTTAGCAGTTAAAAAGCAATAAATGAATGACTATGGTGAGTACAGTTGATTCTAGGCCAAAGATTTAAACCATTTCTCACCTTATGTGTCATTTTTGTATAAGGACCATGCTATTCTTCTCTTTATTATTCCAATTTTATTAAATATCACATAAGAAACATAATAATATGAATATTAATTAAGTTTTTAATAAATCAATATAAACATTTGATATTTCAATAATATAATATTATTCAATAAGTTTTACTATATCAATAGCAAATTTATATCATTCTATATCTACACAACCATCACAGAAGCACCATCTAAAATTATACCAATCAAGGTAATTCAATATTAAAAAAATTTTCATTTATGTACATGATATTTTAGCATTCCTCCGCTAGTACCATAAATGAGTGACTCGGTCATAATCAGTCATAAACAAAAGCATAGTCAATATAAACATATGATTCATGTGTTCATCGTATTCAATTCAATATATTATATATAACATACACTAATGCATGACAGTAAGTAGCTAAATATTCATAACAATATGACCAATAAAAAATATATATATAAATCAAAACTTATACAAGTATTATTAACTACTAATACAAAATAGTTGAGAACCCAAATATTATCATAAATTAAAAAGTACTAGTACTCATCTCGATAATAAACGATCTGATTATTACTTCTATCAAATTATCACTTATAAAACATAAAATATTCAATTATCACTTAATTATATTTTAATTTGATTATCAATTATTATTGTGTTGCGCTATTTTAATTAAGATTTCAATACTTTAAATTTGAAGTTTGATT